TTCATAAAATAATAACAGACACAGACACAGACACAGTCTGCCCTTTGAGTATTGTGCAGATAACTGTCTGTAGCGGTGTCAAAGCGGAATTTACCTTAGGTACATCATTACAACTTACCATAAATACGCAGTCAAAATATTATTTAAATCCAGGTAAGGCAACCGTAAGTTTTACGTTGCGACTTTGATTTCCAAGTACTAATAAAAAAAATTGTGCACAAAAGTTTCAGTTTAAAATCTTACGAAGGCTTTTGCTTAATAATAAATATTTTAAAATACAATATTTGAGAACCGGCCGTTACGAACACAATAAAAGTGTCTCCTATCTCTCTTATATACTCGAAAATCTAAAATTAATTGTTTGAAATGTATTAATTGACCTTGGATGCGAATATTCATAAATAACATGGACGGGTTTTACAAGTTAAGTGAATGAGTAATATTTGCATTGAGTACACGTTACGATTTTACGGGATAATTTTAAAATTTATTTTTATTACATTTACCTTTATACAAAGTACTACGTAACTCAGCTGTTGTTTGACATCTACAGTGATCCCTGATATGACACTTAGAGCGACCGCCCGAAATCTTAAATTAAAGAAGACTTAAAATAAAGCACTTTACAATAGAGAGCTTTTATACGTATAAAATAACATTAACACCTATGAAACAATATTTACAATGATAGAAGTACGAATGCTTCACTTACACGTCACTTATTGCCCTTCCCTATACTCCGAAAGATGTATTTGATATTTTAATTTAAATGAATTCAATAAAACTACGTTGCAGAGAGGAGGTGGTAAGTTAATCAGTGTTAAAATTGACACGATATATTTTTGACAGCATAGGTAACAAACGAAAAATAACCATTTAATTATTATTGTGTCATACTTATCTTTGATATAAAGCTCTTATTACTAGGTTAAAGTTAAATTACTTAATTTACTTGAAGCAGATATTTGTATGTGTCTATTTTACACTAGGACTGGAATCTAGGACAATTGGCGCTTAATTTTAGCGTTTGGATTGATAAACGGATAATTGGAAATTATGTTTTTTTTTATTCTAAGCTCATGTTTTGTAAATCATGGTAACTCTAACCATAATTAAATATACCTTTGTCTAACATTTTGGTTGTTAGTGAGTCAATTACGTATGGTTCAATGTCATTGTTTTTTTGTCAACGTGAGAACGACGCCATTTTGTATTTTTATCATAAAGAGATGTAATATAGAGATAACATTATGAAGTTAAGGCTTCGATCATCACTTTATGAACATTTCGAGAAATTTCAGCCTGTTCAAACGGGTATTAAATAATGTATAGTCTGTATATTTCTATACTAATATGCAAAGCTGAAGAGTTTTTTTAACGCTCTCTCAAAAATCTCTAAAAATCTCAGAAACTACTGATTCGAAATGAGAAATAATTTTTGTGTTGTTTAGAGTATTTATCGAGAAAAGCTTAAGGCTGTAAAACATCGAGCTGCTATTAAGAGGAGCGAAGAAACAGCGGAAAATGTGGAAAAAACTGGGAAAATTGTGAGAAATTATCTAAAAAAATTACGCGACAGTATATATGCCTTTCTTTTAAAATTAACTTGCACGAACGAAAGGACGATGTAGTGGGTAGAGTTCAACAGGGGGTTAGCAAAAACGAATTTTGATGCCGCAAATAACTATTCTACGCAGACGAAGTCGCTGACACAGTTAGTTCATCAATATATTTAAAACTAGCAAATATTTTTCGGGACCCTAACTCATAACTAGTTAAATTTTATTCGTTACTTCTTTTTCTATACTTTTTATTTAATGTAAAGGCACAAATTTCATAAATCTATGCTTATTACTAACCAGATGGTAGTGTCTGTAAGTTATAAATAATAGTACCAATGTATGGGTGACAACTTGCCGCGTCTTTCTCACGTCATTATGTAGTTTGGTACTTTTTATCTCATTTGTTGGTCATAATAGATTAACGTTGCTTAACCATACATGATTAATTAAATAATAATTTAAATATAGTGATACGCAGTATTGAATAAAATACTTAAGTTTGAAAAATTAATATATTTCACAAGTTATTGCACATGAAGGCACTATATAATTTAAAAATCGAATATAATTTGAAAAATTTTTCGACTCGGGCAGGACTTGAACCGGCATCGTCAGCTTTCCGTGCTGTTGCTCTACCAATTGATAGTTTAGTGTAGGACTCGGTAGCTCAATTGGTAGAGCAACAGCACGGAAAGCTGACGATGCCGGTTCAAGTCCTGCCCGAGTCGAAAATTTTTTTAATTTATTTTCGATTTTTAAATTATACTATTAACGGTTTAAAAGTACATATTTCGGATGCTTCACTTTGCTGTCTGTTGTAAATTATTATTTAATTACTCAAGATATACTTATATTTTTATTTATCTTAATTATTCATGGTTGTAATTGTCATAAATCAAACGGATAGTATGACAATCATATTTTAGTTAATAAAAATTACAAAATTTCGATAATAATCGATTAAGCAGCATTCTGACCCACTACCACAGGGTTAGCGTTCCACCAATTCTATATTTACTTCTCGAAAAATATGCAAATTTTTATCGCTTAATGATTTGTTACTTAAAGACTTACTCGGACATTTAAATAAAAACACTTTAACGGTTTAAAACGCGATATATTAGTCTCGATATATGGTCTCCCCGTGACCACGGCTGCTGCAAAGCATCCGAAACGTCGGGCCGAAGTTAAAAATCATTTCAAATAAGTTTAACTAATATATCGCGTTTTAAACCGTTAAAGTGTTTTATTTAAATGTCCGAGTAAGTCTTGTGTACTACTCGCGTAAACTATAGACAGTATTTGACTTACTCGGACCTTTTAATGTATAATATTCAATTACTACATTTTCGACTTAGTAATGCTTATACATACACGAAAACATACGATGCTCAAGGCCATGAGAATTTTTCACAATAGATACGGTACACAGACACAACGCCAACGAATTAATATGAAGTCTGTGATTCATCAATATAGCTACAATTCGCTAATTTTATTTCCAGAGACTTTTGAAAAATATTTTTCACACGATGGCTTTATATAAATTAAAAATCGATTATACATTGCCCGAGAGATGCATGTATTAATATGTTGAAAAAAACTCTACGATGACGTGTAGGACTCGGCAACACAGTTGGTTAGAGCAACGGTAAGGTACGCTGACGATGCTGTATCAAGTCCTGCCGGAGTCGCATTTTTCTCAATTTATAATTGATTTTTTTAGGGACGATTTTGTCAAGACTCAATTCATGGATTTAGGTTCTCCACACTTAGCTTGTCACTCTTAATTCTGAATTCCAGAAATTGATTTTTCCGTACTTGACTCGTCCGTTTAATGATAGCAAGGTATGGCTAATCTGGATGATAAATAGGTTTTTAGGTGGCAATATCAGTACCAGCGTGTAGTTTTATGGCCTAAAGTCTTTCTCCATAAATTGGCCAGCCAACACGAAAATATTTTTTCAAGTAAAACCAGTAGTTCCTGAGATTAGCGCGGTCAAATAAACAAGCTCTTCAGCTTTATAATATTAATATAGATTGAAACGTCGTCACGAATCACGATAGACATCGCATGAGCATAATACTTGACTAAGCAAAAACCATATCTCACCACGTTAATATTCTCGTTGTTAGTATAAATGTTGTTTTATTCTTAGATCAATATTACAATACTAGTGTTAAAAATTTTCAGTAACATTAAAATTTAAAACAATAAGACGCGCACATTTTGCCACAATAGCTGTTGGCTGCCGAACGTGGAATTGCTAAAAATAGATATGACATATTTCTTGCAAAGTTATAAATACTTTTTATATAAACTAAATATAAGTATTTAAAATAATAAGTCGTCGGTCTGGTGCTGAGTACACTTGACTTTAACGACCTGGTTCTGGGTTCGAATCCTGCGTCGCGTCACTTCAGTATTTCGTTTTGTTATCATCCAACATCTTGGCTTTGATGTTAGCAGTTTACAAAAACACTTTAACGGTTTAAAACGCGCAATAATTTAGTTATCATGTTTACTAATTATTTTTTATGTGCCTTAGACTTTTCGGATGTTTTGCAGCAGCCGTTGTACTGGCAGACAGTAGGTCTATTTCGCGTTTTAAACCGTTCAAGTTCTTTATTTAAATGTCTATCTACTTAGTGCCTACTCGCGTAAACTACAGACAGTATTGATATCATTCCTACATTTTCCTTTTTAAGTAGTTAAATTGAAAAATGGTAGTATCTGCGAGTTTACACTTGTCCATTTTTCGTAGATCCTAGAGCGAACTAAACAATGGCCAACCCAGCCACGAACCTGGGACAGTTTGTTTAAATGCATGATATTATTTGCAAAACGGAAGCGTGCAGCAATTTATATTCCCCTTTGCCTCATTCTATGCGGAACTTTATAAAAACTGCTATTGTTTTACATATTAATACTGTACCATGGTTTGTTTTACTATATTTGCAATTTTCTCGTAAACAGTACTTAAAAACCAGACCTTGCTAAATACCTATAGTAATTTTATTATACTTCAGCATATAGATACTACAATTTATAGATAATAAAACAAAATATGCACCTATATTTTAATATAGTAAAATCTCGTTTTGCCAATGGGGCATGGGGCGAACACGTTTTAAATGATTTGAATCCAGGACCTCCCACGCTTAACGCATTGTTAGGCAACACATTTAACCAGTGGATTAATGTTAGATTTATTAAGTATAAAATAATTTTAAAAAACCATAAGAGAAGAAATTGGTAGGGCTCAAATCTACTGTCAAGAGCGTCGTCTAGTTTCTGCTTGTGTATCTATGTCTTACATTCTCATTTGTCTTGCTCTGAAAAGCATTATTTTTTGATAATAACCAACGTTTTTGGTTTTCTAGGATCATGAATCAGCGGTAACAGCCCAGACAATGAACTAGCAGGACATAACAAAGATGGATCTTCACGCACCCATGGTTGTCCATGGCTACGAGCATGCTCCGCTTTTGGAGGTGGAAGGCATTGACCCTCACAGCCCCCAGCAGAAGGTCCTCATCCACCAGCCCATCCAGAGCCAGGAGTTGATGAGCACGGATCACAGGAATGGAGGTTAGTTGGTGACGTCACTGTCATGTTGGTGTCATGACGGTTATTTTCAACGTGGAATTAACTAACATACTATAAACGGGTCAAATGATCTATTTTTAACTTTCGCATTAAAAAAATATGGTGTACCATCTTAGATTTATCATTTTTTATAAGTACACATCAAAACCAATATTCAATATAAAAACAATTTTTTGTAAACGTTGTGACGGTTTTTCTTATCAGTTACTTGCATCTCATATACACCAATAATAACTAAATTTAAATTAACAGTAAACAAAAAAAATAGAGATACTGCCTAGTGAACTATATAGTCTAAATTTAACTTCTTATCTATTCTGAACCCATTAACTTCTATTTAATTATTTAATTTTTATTCTTTGTTTTTTGTTTTTTTTTTGGGTACCAAATACTTGTCATATACTGTTATCTACCATAACGGATCATTTGATCCGCTATGGTAAAAATGTTGAGAGTTGGTTTGACTAGGTAAGCTATTTTTAATCACAACACTTTTATTACTTTTTGCGTTTGAATAAAACTGGTATTTATACATTATTGTTCTCCTGGTTTTTTTTATTACAGTTATAGTTACGTCTTGTTGTAAAAATCTTGTTCTTTATAATTTTGTCGAGAGCAGATGTGCTAATCTAACATAGAGTACGATTTTGCAGATGAGCAGTACCACGCCCATAGCAGTAACCAAAGTGGAGACGGTAAGTCGTTTTTATTATATAATTATCTATAAGATTTTGGTATATGTTTATTACATATTGCGAATTTAACAATATCTTGGGAATATATTGATGACCCCTGTAGCTCAGTGTTTATACATTACCTAGCTGTACGTGTTATAATTTTAATATTATGGGTTTGAATTCCCGCTAAATCTATTTACGCCAGTCCTGCGCTTTGTTTACGGCGTCAAAAGTCAACATTTAAAGTACAATTATTAAAAAATATATTAAGTTCTCGGTTTGTTCGTTTAATTTTAATAAATATATATATTGTCGGTTAAGTGTCTTTAAATTATTAATTAAAAACATAATATTGTACAAAAAAACAATATTTTGTTATTAAATTAAAAGAAACAATGTTCTATTACTTAAAACATTTTTTATTGTTTAACATTAGACTTAGACTTAGAGAAAAATTAAAAGATAAAAACACCATAATTAATTTTCGTGCTGGTAGCACAGACTAATTACCGAATAATTAATTGAATTCTTATCCAATACGTTTGTTATATAAACGGTATTGTGAAGGTAATTATTTTTTTTATACAACTTTCACTCAACATTCACTTCGCACTGCATAGATTAATGCAAAACAGAGGTTCAATGTAAAAACGATTGAATGTCATAACTGTATTCAATATATATAAATCGTGCGTTCGATTATCACCAGTTCCTTTGTGTTTTAAAATAATAATCTGATTATTAATATGTTAAAACCCATCACCCATAAATATTGGATGGCTCTCGAAACCCTACCCATAGATGGAAAACTGATAGCAGAGTAAATTCTCATTTCCATGTCAAGCCAAAATAAGTCAACAGCACATTTTACTGAAATAATAATTAAAGGCTTCAACTTCCATCTAGTGAATAAGTTTATCTTCACTTCAGTTATAGCATACATTATGTTTTTATTTAACATAGCAAAGTTGTCATTTATATTTAATTATTTATATATTTTTTTTGTTATAGATAATATTAGAGTCGAAATTTATATTGAAAACAATGCAATTTTAAATCCCCTAAGCATTCTATAATTTTGCTTAAATAACTTACAATAAAACACAAGTTAAAATACACCAAATATTTTATCTGTCTGTATGATTTTTCACTTAAACACAAACGGATGAGTCACTAGAACTTGTATAATCTATAGATGAATAAAAATAAAGCTGCAGTCCGAGTGTAAGCGATAGCGTTTTGATAACCATAAGCTTTATCTGTATAAATTTAAATTTTACTAGTGTTCATAAAGTATATTAAAATTACGTTTGTGTAATATAAAAAAGACATTATGCAATAAGTGTTGTCAAAATGTACCCCCAAACCAGATGACATAACATGAAAATCTACTTAAAAAAAATTCATTATTCAGCCCGGAATTGAAGCTGTGATTCAATTCCTTCGTGAACAGCTTCGTGTTTTGTTCAATTGCGCATAATGTAGCTGTAACGTTACATTGTCTCTTTTTTTTAGTTCCATAAAAGTAGTTTATGTTTCTCGTTAATTGGTAATGGCAAGACTGAACTCAGAATGATTATGGGAAATAACTATCAATTCAATCATCGTTACAATTATATGCTAGGAATTTCAAAATTCCTTTCGCATAACGAACCACCATCCACAGATAAAGTAGCCGCGAAGCTTAATCGCGTTTCACTTTAAGTCTGTAGGTATATTCTGAAGACGAAGGCCGAAATAGGTTGACGACGCTTCTCCCTGAATGTTATATGTGGTTATTTCACCTTTCAACCAAGCTTGTCTGTCTTTTCTATCATGGAAAACGAGTTCCCATAATGGAAAGATAAAATCGCTATCACTCGCACCACCCACAAACCGGCCGTCGGGCCAACTAATTTCACAGCGATTTAGTCAAGTGTAGTCTCACAAAAAACGCCATTCACTGAAATGTAGTCGCTGCACTCAATGGATGTGGGCCTTAATGAAGCTTGCCAGATGAAAAAATATTTCCCAGAATATAGGCTTATGCCGTGATGATTTTTTGACACGATTGGAAATTGTTAATATCGATATTCCCTGGAATACTGCATTGAACAATCAATAAGGAATGCTTTACTGAGAGCTATAATTATAGCTATATAATTATAATAATTGTATGTTTAAGCAAGATAAATAATAAAACACTGTCTGTAGTTTACGCGAGTAGTTACACAACCGAAATCACGGCTGCTTCAAATAATTTACGTTACCTATATAAATTGTAACTGGCTTATTTCGTGATACTATTTAGGCATAAAATAATTATAAATTAGTCCCAATTTTGAAGTTTTTATCGTGTATTTTTCAAGTAAATAAGTATTTTTTACTTTTAACAGATCAAAGAGTCACTTGATAAAATATTGATAGTACAGCAAAGATGAAGTCTGTGGTAGGCTAAACCGCGGCCCCGATACATCGCTGGTCACGCGCATTGAAAGCGAAACTTGAGAAAAAATGCTACGTGACCAAGTGGCTAGGGACTGCGCCACAGAATATAGATTAAAACAGTGTGACGTTTACGCAAACGCCAACTGTGATATTCCTGTTACTGTGCACATATAATTACAGTATATATACATACAAATAATAATTAATTGTTATTTGTCTGAAATTAAAAACAATAAAAGTAGACTAAACAAAAATATCTTTACCACCTTTTGGTCTACTAGATCATTTTGCTTTAGAGAGAGATTAATCTATTTAGTAGCTACCTAAGGTAAACATTGTTTGTAGTATATGCTAGTAGTAAACAATTAAATAGAATACTTTTAACGGTTCTAAACACAAAATATCTCTCACGATAACTATTGCATAGCATCCGAAACGCACGGGCCGTATTTAAAATTTTAAGGAAGTTAACTATATATTCCGCTTTTCAAACAGTTAAGGGGGCTTAATTTAAGTACCTATATTCATGTAATCTGCTTAAATTCAATACGCATATTTTGGAGTAAAATTCGTATGTTTTTTCCTTTCCTATATCTTAACTTAAACAGCGCTTATGTGTTATGAACGACTGGTGTAATTAAACTGTGCCAACACCGATGCTCAAAGTTACCAAAACCGACACAGATGGCGATGTTCGTAACGAAACAATTCTCGTTACAAAATACAGAAGTTTTAGGTGAAGCAGACACGTTGTAGATAAGTATAACTCTTTAAATAATATATATAAACATCCTATCGTCTTATGTATGTACTAAATGATCTTTGTTATTGATTCCAAACAAATGACGACGAATCTTACTTGTAAATAAAATCGACTGGAATGGACACAGTTGTACAATTTTTCACAAAACCCACTGAGGGGACATAAATGAAATGGATATAAACAACATTTGTCTAACTTCTTCCTTATGCTTTATTAATATGTCCCTATACAAAGACTAAAAAAATAAATAAATGTCAAAATCACATGCCTTAAGTGACTTTACTACTAGTTACAATAGGCAAGTGTTTCTTTCATTGATGTTACACCGTCTTCATTGATAAATCTCAAGAAAATAAACCTCCGTGTGTAATGACGCCTGGCGGGTTCCCAGGGAAGTGGCTGTGGTCGGCTCGGGTTGCGCCGGCGCAGCGCCTCTCAGAACTTACGATTACTTCCGGTACTACTTCTGTGTTGTCCTAGGACTTGTCTTAATTCAAATGCAAATAATTTATTCCACACCAAAGAATGTACATATAGAAATGATACAACGCTACAAGAAAATACATAAATTGTTTACAATGAAATACGCGTAGAATAGTTATTTTGGGTATCCGATTTTTTCTTCCGATCTATCCGATCTTTTAAATACAACACTTTAACGGTTTAAAACGCGATATGTATTAGTTAAACTTATTTGAAGATTATTTTAACGAAACATAAGGCCTTAGGTAAAATAAGTTTATCTAACATGTATCGCGTTTTAACCGTTAAATAAAAAAAAGAACTGCTCGTTCGCAAGTGACACATATTGTACTTTTGACACTTAATTTTAATAAAACACTTTTAACGTAACGCGAAAAACTACTATACTATACTATTTACCCCCCCCCCCCCCCCCCCTTCGTCGTGTCCCCGTCGTGTCGTATCTATGTATGTATTTCGCCTTTTAAACCGTTAAAGGTTTTAAATGTACTCGCGTAAACTACCCAATACATTTGATTTTTTCCTAATTTTCAACTTCAGTATAACTACTTGCGTGACGAAAACAAATTATCGAACAGCAAGACGTTCGTAAAGGGGTTTTCCACATTTATTATTGAGGAAAATAGATAAAAGTGTGTCAATTTTCATTGTGATATTCGTGTAAATAGGCATAATTCACAAAACATTGTTAGGGACAAAGTAGAGTTCTACAAAGTATTTATGGTAATCAAAGAACAATGGTCAAATCGTATCTAGACCTACGACCAATTATGTGTTATACATATAATAAAGACGGAAGCGTTTTTTTACTCTCCTTCTCCTTCTTCTTCTACTTATATTGACGATAACCCATAAAAAGGCCAGAAAAAAAGACATGAATTTTTCTTTCAAATATGATATTTTTTATTTGTCTCTTTAAACTTATCGTTACAGTTCGCTTATATATCGTTAGATAATGTTAATAACGTTTAATATACCATGATTTTTTTTAAAAGTAAAGAGTAAGTAAAGTATCTGATCATTTGCGTGTAACGAAACGATTTGCCATCGACATTTAAAATCACTGACACATCACTGACAGTTGCCTTCGTTGATACGTACCTACTGTATTTAAAAATTTTAATTTTCCCTTACAAAAACTCATTCTGCTTTTAGATAACTCGATAGAGTTATCTAAAAGCAGAATGAGTTTTTGTCAACTGTCAACAGACAACTGATCAATTCGTTAAGTATATAGATATATATACTTAACGAATTGATCAGTTGTGCTTTTCAAACATATGTAATTAAACTAACTTGGAAATTCTAACCTTTAAAATTATTTTTGACGATATTCAATTATTAT